ACACCATCTCCAAGATCATTTGGAAACATACAATTTATCTTTTGATTGAACTAAACTGTTAGGGTGATTCTTGTGATAGCACTTATTATATTAACTGATTCATTAATACAACAGTTTAAAAGACTGAATTTTAGAGACATTTAATCTATATAGAAAAAAATTATACTTACTGCTAAAATATCTGCCTCCACAGGTAAAAGATTCAGGAAAGCAAATAACTGAACAGTCAAAATAGTGTATATCTGAGTGGCAGACAACATCAGCATTCCTATTGACAACAGCATATTTTATTTAATACCTGCAACAACAGAAAAGAAACACAGAGTCAAGGTATGTAGCAAATATCTTCCTCTGTCATTTTACTTGGCTCCATTGGTTAAATCTTTTTTTCCAAAGAAGCACACGAAATATTATTCTATGTTTACTCTTGACTCTATTATTATTTTAGAGACAGAAGTCCCTTTTCCTAAAAGCATGTCACCTCCATAAGAGTGCATGCATATGACTCAAAAACTAAACCAGCAGCACTTCAAAAAGCTGTGGGCAACACAGAGCAAAGCGGGCAGCACACAGGAACAGCATTAATCACCCTGAGGCACTCTTCATTTTAATATTCCCTTCTGCCAGCATAAATCCAAATCAGCAAAATTCCTCATGCACCCGGAGTAATCCCACTAAAAGCGTTTATCCTAAATATAGACTTGCAAAACCAGTGTGACACCAACAGGTAACAAACACAAACCAGCTCTGTCAGCCTCGGTGAGATTCACAGGAGCTCAAACGCGCCCCGTGCTCCTGGCAGTTTCCTGTCAAAGGGGTGCACTTTGGAGACCTTTGAAAAAGGACACAAGCACTCTGTAAAACATGCTTGTATGCACTGCACAACCTCAAGACATCAAAAGGAAGTGAAATTGTTTTTTTTAATAAATTTTCATCCAAACCAGAACCAAAAAGCAATAGCTTGTGCCTGGAAACACAGGGACAGGTTTTCTGACAGAAACTGCTCTTTAAACCTGCTGATTTACTGGTAATCAAAGCAAAAGTGAGGAGTTAGGAGGAAGCAAAGAAAAAAATTTTTGTATTTTTCTTTTGCCATACAAAGAAATTAAAAAATATATATTAGAAACAAAGTGCCTGAACGTCTGCCTTGTATGAGCAATGATACCAGTGCCCTTACTAAAGTCAGGGAGAACATTGTTGTCTTCAACTCCCCCCCAAACCCCACAAAACAAACAAATAACAAACCACTAAAAAAAACCCCAAACAAAACAAACATGTGCATGAACATAAGTTTGAATTTCCTCTACAATCTAACACATGTATTAACTGCAAGGGTAACATTTTATTCTGTAATCTTACACCAAATTGGACCGATTTTACAATTATGCATGTCCTGAAACAAAAAAGGCCCAAAGACAAGGCAAATGTTAAAAATAAAATGTTTACATTTTGAACATTTCAATTCCTTCCAGCAAAGTTGGAAGTTAACACTTAAGTTATAATCCACAGTACTGCTCATTTTAGCAACCCAGTATGCTCTGAAATGGGTTACAGATTACTTTCCTTTTGTCTCTTCCAAATAGTTTTCTGACACCATCAAGAGACTCAACTTAGAAAACAATCATTACTCTGATTAAAATGTCATTTCCATGGCTGATAAAGGCAGTTTCTTAGGGCCAGAGTTTACTGAATGTCTGTGAAAGGCCAACTGCCTCTGCACTTATTATAGGGCCCCCAAATTTATGACCTCACAATCCACAAATATACGAACATGGTGCAAATCTGCAACATTTGATAATCATCATGTTTAACATAATAAGAAATGGTGTATCTGCAAAGCTTTAATCTCAAATGCTCAACAGAGAATGGTGGCAGTCCCTGTTAACGAGAAGCATCCAAGTGGCAGCCCTCCCTGAGCCCTCACATCCAAATGCCTCTCATGCAAAAACACAACCTGAAGACAAAGATTGAGACATCTGTTCTTCACTGACAAGTCACAGCTGACAACCTCTTTTTTTATTGTTGCTACAGTCACAATGCAGACCTAGGGCAGACAATTATTAGCTGTCTGCAGAGGACCTTGAAACTCCTCTTAGGCTTGGGTAAAACATAATTCTGTACAGGTAACCTCTTAAGAGCACAGAAGTACAACATATCTTACTTCCCTCATAAAAACTCACACCTAAATGTGATCAAGCTAAAATCTCCAACATTCAAAATCCTCACACATTCAACACCTCCTACTGCAGAGCACAAAACAAGCAACAATTCAGTGCTACGATCAGCATGAAATCTAACCACTCTTACTGCTCAATCTAAAATAATCACTGGGTCCATAGAGGGACAAGTAAGTCTTGCTAGCCATTCTTCTAGTCTCACAGTAAGAAATAACTTGAAATGACAAAGTTAAAATAGTGGTGACACAAAATACAGCAAAAACACTGGAACAAATATTGCTATAATACTTACAATAATTCAAGGACAAGTTTTTAAAGGTTCGTGCTTAATAATATCTTTATCAGAACATCTGATCTCCTCTAATTTCTTTTACAGGATTAATTGCAAGTACTTCACAAATAATGACAACTCAATTAGGCCATCCTAATTGTTCACCTGATTGTTGAAAAACTCCAAATTGAGGCTTATTTAAATGGTTCTGTGTGGATTTGTTTGGGGCTGTTCTGCCTGTAGATAGTTCATTCTGAAAATTGTAACTTTGTTGACTTACTCAAGAAATCACATCAAGACTGTTATATTCCCTTTCTGAACCAAGAATCACCTCAGAAATCCTGTCTTCCTGTCCTATTCATTGTGGGTTTCTTAAAGAGGAAGCATTGTCCTAAGAGCTGAGGCTCTCAACATTAATTAAAGAAAATACTGGAGAGTTATATTTGATTTACACTAATATGAAGATAATGAAAATTCATTATAACTAACAGGAGGAAACAGCCAGTACTTTCAAAACCAGCTCTCATGATTCTGACTTGGCCCTTCAGACACATGATGCTTTGCAAAACTTTCAGCGGGTCAGTGGAACAGAAGTTACAGTCACAGGAACCTGTAGTGAATTACGAAATTCATGAATTTTTATTTCTATATTAAGATTTACCAGTTTATCCCTCTTCAGAGGGGCATGCCCTAGCAAAGAGGATGTTGCTGGAACTGGAAGGGTACAGAACAATACCATTATTTTTACTAGGACAGAAACAACTAGGAGCTACCTCAGTATTTTAACCAATGCAGTAAATTCAGCAGGTATCTTAAAACACTGGGAAAGCACCAAAACAGTGTTGAGTGTGGTTAGAAAATACCACAAATAGAGCTGTCCTTGCCAAGAATGTGCATGTACAGTGCAGTCTTTTCTGTCAAACAATCACAGACTCTTCTGGGCCCAAGAACTACTGCCTCAAATGCAAGCAAAAGCCTTAGGATTCCTGAAATTCCATGGCTTCCAGACTACACTGTTAACTGAGGGAGGCAGCTTCTGGCAGGCTCAAGTACAGGTACAGAAGTCATTAAAGGCTATACTGTAAACCACACAAAAGAAGTTAAACTTGACTCTGCATTAATCTTCAGCACTTTGCACCCGATTCTCTAATGTCTATAGATAAAGTTCTCCTCAAGTAACTTCGGGCACTTTGAGTATTTTTTTTCTTCCCACTCGGCACCTTAGAACTGATAAAACAAACCAAGCCTGAGGAGCGACATCCCTGTCACAGGCTGCACAGATCAGCAGGTGAGAACTGAAGGGTGGATGTGGGTGTGCCCTGGCACAGCACTCGCTGCAGCAGGACAAGCATTTAGGAAATACCGAGGGCACACGGGACAAGGCACTGCCCGTGGAGACAGAGCAGCAGCAGCAGAGCTGCTTGATGTGGGAGAGAAAACACTCCTGACTGCACCTCCCGAGGAAGGGGGGAACAACACGTCCCTTCACGCTTGAAGACAAGGATGGCCAAATAAACTCAATACAACACGTGACAGACACATCCCTCTGCTGTGCTGGACACCAAGAACACCCTGCTTGCCTCTTAACACATTAGTGGTATTGTTTGTATTAATAATAAGGGGCTATAAAACACAGTGTTTTAACACTCCAAGACCAGAACAAACAACCCAAGTGGAAAATGCTCTTCTGGATACAGTTCCTGTATCCCGTCAAAAATCCCAGTTCCACATTTACCAAGGTGAACAAGCCTTGGGAGCACATTTAGGACAGATGCTGAGAAGAAATTACATGGCTTGAGACACAGAGAAGACTACTCAGAGCTTCTGGCAACTATCCACAAACCACACTCCACAAAGTGCACATAAATAGTAATTTTTCAGAAGTTTGTAACTCAATCAACTCAAAACACATTTCACAGCAGAAGACAAGACAAAGCAGTCCTTGTCCACATGGTTATGCTTATGCTTCAGCCCTCTCAGGAAAACAGCTCTTTCCCCTCCCACTGGTGAAAAAAAACTAACTTGCACATCTGTATTAAACAAACAAATTCTGTTTTACTGCCAATTAGGATTACAATGCTTATAGCATCCACAAAAATAACATTAAACATTGTCCTGCCACAAACTCGGTTGAAGTAATTCTAAATATTTGCGTAGGTTGAGCTGCACCTCCCAAAATTACACAAAGGGTGAACAAACATTACCTAGATAAAATAAAAAGTTCTCACACGTATCCCCAAAAGCCCAAATGTCAGTGCTTTTTGCATTTTGATGCCATTACTAACCTGAACCTCCACTTAACATCTATGCACAGAACTGAAAAACTAATACCCAAAACTCGGTGTATCAAGGAAGACGCAGGCACCAGTCCTCTCCGTCTGTTCTCGGCTTTTTACTGGCAGTGTGCTGGCCAGCCAGGCAGGCTCCACGCTGGCTCATTATCTTCCAAGCATAACCGGTACCTCAGCGCACCGACACAGCCTCAGAAGAACCACACACCGCGCAGTTGTGAAAAGCAGAGCAAGGGCTGCGCTCTCAGCAGCCTGGAAGCGATGCCCGGGGAGCGCCTGGGCGCCCTGCCCGCCCTCCCTCCCTCCCTCCCTGGCGCCGAGGCGGGTCTCCGCGCAGGCTGCGACGACAGCGAAGCGCTAGGGCCGGCG